TCAGGATACGTGCTGAGCTTGCTATGTCAGGAACTGCTGAAGGCGTCATGACCCCCATGGGTCTGTCCCCATGGAGGATACGGCTGCGGTGACCTACTGTATTCTTTCATAGCAGTGTCACTGCAATACTTGAAAAATCTGCTTCATGGAAATGGATGTACAATTAGTGACCAGTAACTTAGCAGAAATCACCAGGGGAAAAAGCCCTGCTGAAATAGAACATGAAGATGTGGAAAAGTGTAGTATTACCAACAGTGATATGCTATGAACTTACAATGACAAGCTGGCTTTGGATCCCATCCATTCTCTGTGCATAGGGTCTTGGCACCTGAGGCTTTTTGCAAGGTTTGAAACCCCTCATTGCATGTATACATAAGTTCTTCCTTAGGTCTGAAGACCAATTTAGTTGACTGATAGCTAGCATTCTCTTCTGTTGGCTTTGAGCATGTTTCTGAGGAAACAACCAATCAGAATTGTTAATGAGCAACCGGGGGTTTTTCCCCTACATAGAAGAACCCTCTTGCTGCGAGGATGGAGCATTTAAAAGCCACCACCAAGGCCACACAAATCTATCAGTTTCCCATTCCTCCACATTCAAATTGTTTAAATCTTAGGTTATTTCCATGCCATTGGTGAAGATATGCATGTGCTTATCGAAAATGTGTAACTGAACCAACTCTCACCATCTCACTCACAAATTTTACATGTGCAGCTGCATCCAGCATGACGAAGGCAGTGATATAGCTCTTACAGGGGAGGTTCCATGTTGCAATCCCAATAAAGCACCACAAGCACAACTGAACTCACAGTTATGCAGACTTGAGATTGAAATACTCAAATGCAGGAAAAAACTGAAACTGAGAAATTCACTCCCCCCCACACACACAAACACAAATTGTTGCAGCACATTCATAAAGAAATGTGTGAATGTTGGAAGGTTCTTCTTGAAAAAGAATCATCAACCATTCTGTCTATGACCAAATGGCCAAGCTGTGGGACATCACTTTCCACCAGTTCTGCAATCAAGTACATGTCATGCAAATCCTGGATTCAACCCCAGGCATCTCCAGCTAAGGCAAGGGACCAGTCGCAGCTGCCAACCCTGGAGAGCAGCTTCCGCTCCATGGGCACTTTCATACATGGTTGTTGACAAATCAGCTGACTGGATGCAAAGGACAAATGGATTCACCAGGAGTTATTGGCTCCTTCCCTTCAGTCCTCATGCAGCTATCCCAGAAGACCCCACAGGAGGACCAAATGATCTTCCCTTACCCTGCTGCAAGCATGAAATGTTCTGGACTTGCCGTCGATTTTGCTTCCCATCCCTTTTTTGGAGAGTTGCAATCCCTGTTTTGGCACTGATTGACTTTAAAGCATCCAAGCAGACCTTGGTGTGGCTTTCAGGGTCTAACAGAACTGCCCTCCCCCTTTTTGTTGGGGGGGGGGGTTGCACAAACATAATTGCTCAAAAACTGGTTTATTTTTAACAAAATATTTGAGGTGGAGTTGCACAATGATGAACCTTCACTGTGGTGTGTCTGCATGATCCGAAGCCTTGGCTGAGGCTGCTTTAATTGCAACTATGGGTGGAAAAGGACTGAAGAGGAACAGTCTTGGGAAGAAAACAAAACCTTTAGCGTAGCTAACTAGCTAAATGAGGCACCGTGATTGAGGAATGCATTCGCTCCTCTAAAGTTCAAGGGTTGCCCAGGTTGCAGTTCTGGCAGGCTTCTACGAGATGATCAAGGAGAGATCAAGGGGAAGGCAACCCTCCCCTCCCCCCAACACACACACAAACTTTGTTCCACCTGATGAGGGTCTGGGAGCTGGAAAGAAGGGAAGGGCAAAGACCTGGGGCTGGACCTGGAGCTGATGGACTAGGATTATCCCTAGTTGGATTGGAGGCCTCCACTGCAAATGGAGGTGCCAGAGGATTCTTGCAGCACTACTAAGCACCCGTAAGTGGAATCACACAGTGCCCCAAGGAAAGAAGATCTACAGGGAGGCTAAAGGGCCACTACTGGCCCATGTGGCATTTTCTGCATGCTGCGGACTGAAGAAGTCACACATTCTAGAGTTGCTATATTCTTAGAAGCCAACCCCAATGCATAAACATTAAGGTGCAAGGACTTTACTTCCACGAATCTCAGTCCTGGACAGCATGTGGCCACCTGGTCTGTCTGCAAGCTCCCTGAAGCACTTCCATGACTTCATTCTTGGGGGAGGTTCTCAGAGGGGTGGCCACTGCCACAAGGACAAGGCTGCTGCCATCCCTCTGGTCTGAGCCAGCCCTCCAGGAAGAGCGCAAGATACTGCGGTGTTTACAGCCAGAGTCTGGCTGAGCTGCAAATCAGTATCAGAACGAACAAGGGGCATGCACAAAAGAAGGGGAGCAAGGCTTTGTGTCTTGTGTGTCTCAGAATTCAGGACTCGTAAAATTACTTACTGACACATTCTGGCTTTGGCACCCATCCAGTTGAATGGCATGATGTAGATCCTCCGTCAAGCCCTTGCAATGTGGTAAAGCCATCTTGGCAGCGATACTCTATTCGTTCATTAAGGAGAAAGTGTTCCTTTGGATCAGTGAAGAAGCCATGAAGAGGAGGAGTGTTTGAACATGCTAGCAGAAAAAAGCAGAGGAGGTTCAAAGAAATTGTGGATGGGCCTGGCGGCTGAAGGTTCATTCCAAATGATCACTCATGAGCTCCACTCCCATCTCACCAGACAGACAGTGCAATGTGAATTTATCAAGATAAAGATTGATAAAGATTGATAAAAAGATGTAACAGAGCTATCCAACTTGCCCTTTATGTAGCTGATTTTTTAAACATTATAACCTCAGTTTCATTCCACAGATTTTAAGAGAGGTTTGTCTTCCCTTTAAAAAGATTAAGAATGTTCCTTCCTCATGACACTCACATGTATTTGTTTCTGTTTCAGATACAATATGAAACATTTG